TCAAAATTTGGACATAAAGAGAATCAGTTAATTCATATCTTTAGTAAATCTTGATCAATGTCAATTAAAAAATAAAACATACAACCAAACACATATCTTACAAATGGCATAAACAACAAACATACACCAATCTTAAAAGCAGACATAGAAAAGGAAATATTGCATAGAAGAAAATTATTACTGGAAACAACAGAGACCTGAAAAAAGAAAAAACTGGAACTTCATTTGTGAAAGAAAAAAAATCTGTCAGTATAGATTTCCCATGAAAATTTTCTTCAAATCAAGATAATATCCAAAAAATTGTTGCGGAGGTCAATATCCAGCAGCTATTTCTACATGTGTTCTCCTAGGAGTTTTTTGTGATTTCAGGTCTTACATTTACGTCTTTAATCCATTTTGAGTTGAGTTATAGTTTAAGGTAAAGGTGCAGTTTTACTCTTTTCCATTTGGATATCCAGTTTTCCCAACACTATTTGTGGAAGAGACTATCCTTTCCTTATTATGTTGGTGGCCTTGTTGAGAATTAGTTGACTGTATATGTGTAAGTTTATTTCTGGGATCTTTATTCTGTTTAATTTGGTCTATGTGTCTATCTATATGATAGTACCATACTTTTTTGATTACTATAGATTTGTAATATAATTTGAAATCAGAACGTGTGCTGCCACTAACTTGGTTTTTCTTTCTCAAACAATTTGAAATTTTGTGGTTTCACACAAATTTTCAAATTGTTTTCTATTTCTGTGAAATGTGCCAGAGCTCAGATAACAAAAGCAAAAATAAACACGCAGGGCAGCATCAAACTAAAAAGCTTCTGCTGAGCAAAGGAAACAATCATCAAAAGGAAAAGGCAGCCTACAGTTTAGAAGAAAATATTTACAGATCATATATCTGATACATGTCTAATACCAAAGATATATAAGGAACTCAATCAACTCAATACCAAAAAATATAATTGTAACCTGAGTAAAAACGAGCAAAGAATCTGAATAAACATTTCTCCAACGAAGACATGCAAATGGTCAGCAGGCATATGAAAAGGCACACAACATCACTAATCATCAGGAAAACGCAAATCAAAACCACAAGATATCACCTCACATCTGTTGAGATGGCTTTTATCAAAAAAGACAAGAGATAAGGGTTGGAGAAGCTGTGGAGAAAGGAGAACCCTTTTGCATAGTTGGTGGGAATGTAAGTTAGCATAGCCATTATAGAAAACAGTATGGAAGTTTGTCGAACAATTAAAAATAGAGTTACTGTATGCTGAAGAAATTCCTCTGCTGTGTATGTATCCAGAATAAGTAGAGTCAGCGTTTTTTAGAGATATCTTCCCTCTCGTGTTAATTGCAGCATTATTCACAATAGCCAATTCGTGGAAACAATCAGAGTGGTGTCCCTACACGGATGAACAGTTAAAGAAATAGTGACAGGTCTATATATATTGTGATTTATATTATATGTATATATGATATCGTAATATTATTCAGCCTTAAAAGAGGAGATATTGCCACTTGCAACATTATGTATAATCCTAGGTACATTTTGCTAAGTGAAATAAACCAGACATAGAAACAAATAAAGGCATGTTTTTACTTATATGTGAAGTCTCAAAAGAAAATAAAATCAAATACATAGAAAGAACATAAAAAGGGGAAGAAAGAAAAAAATAAGTCAAAGGTTATAAACTTGCAGCTCTGTAGGATAAATAAGTTTAGAGATCTAGTGTATGGCATGAGGACTTAATACTGTACTGTAAGCTAAACATTTGTTATGACAGTAGATTTTAGATATCCTTACACAAAGGAAAAACAAAAGGTAACTATGGAAGGTGTTGGATTGATAGATTAATTTGCTTGGTTGAAGCAATCATTTCACTATGTACATGTATATCCTGTATTTTTTAAACAAGCTTACTTGTTTTAGATAAAAATCTTTTAAAAGCTTTTATTTAAAGCAAGTCAATTTTTTTTTTTCCTAATTGTTTATGGTCTTTCATGTTATTTCCACTCTTAAAACTTATGTAAACCTTTGGATATAATGAGATATATGTTTTTCTCTATTTTTGATGTCAGTGCTCTTTACAGCTCTCACTGTCTCTGGGGGTACTTCTGCCTCTTGTCATTCTGTTCAATCTTTATTTTGAAATTTTATATCTCTAGGCTACAACTCAGTGTTTTAAACAGTTCCATCAATTCCTCTATTAACTCTTTATGAACCACAGAGAATGAGAATTATATATTCAAATCTTTTTTGAACTTTCATGTCTGAGTTTTTTTTTTTTTTAAGGTAAAATAATTTTTTAATAGCGTCTCTACAGTGAAGTTATAGAAACAAGATAAAAGTGTGGTTTAGAGTTTCGGCTTTGGAGCCAGCTGCCTGAGTTTGAATCTCACCTACTTCCTAAATTTAGCCACTGGTATTGATGTTACTCAATTTTGGTGCCTCAAGTTTTTCATCTAAAATGTAGGGGGCATATATCAACCTAATGTGAAAGACTCTAGCTCCTGGGAAAGGTGCTGTGTAGCTTAGAGTATAAACATAAGAATGTGGTGTGGAATTTCTGGAATATTTCAATGCCCTTATAATTTCTAGAATATTTCAGTGCCCAGTAGCAGAAGAAGGGTTCTGCTAGCCCTAGCTATCACTATCATAAAATTACTATTTTTATCACTCAATCTCCAATATAGTATGTGTACCTAGTAATTACTAAAATAGAAAGGCTTCTCATTAGATAAAAAACTAAATAATGACTGCTTGTTAAAGCTCTGAATGGCTTTTTGCCCAAAGCATCCAGTATCATTTTTATCCGGATATTTTTCCCTGCTGGTAAAAATAGTTAACACTTTTCCTTATCCACCCCCAGTCCCCCACAGAGACACCAGATCCACTATCACTCTCTATCTGGGTGTCTGAGATCTTGAAAATCTGCAGTGCTGATACCTCAGCATGGAATGAAGTGAACCAAGAATCTCTCTCTAACTTTGGTTTACAAGGATTTGCATACATTTCCTGATGGGTACTAGGCTCATTTCTGGGAATATGTAGCAATTTAAAGCATTGTATCTCATGTCAAAGCTTGCTTGACTCAATCTGAAATTAATCTATTTGGCAAATTTTTCTTTCTGTTAGTTTATACCCTCATTATTACAGTGCCTCCCATCCTCAGTCTAATTTCATCTTTTTGGGGAGTAAGTACTTGGTGGAACACATAGAGGCAAAGAGGAAGCTGGTTTATGCAGCTGAAGAGAGCAACAAAGGAAACAGATAATCCAAACCAGAGTCCTGAACTACACCAGAGATGCCTTTCTCTCTTCCCATTGAGTTGCAACTTGATTTTTTCCAAACTAGATCTCTTTGCTAGGGAATGAAAAAGGAGGTCTAGGTTTTTCTTTCTTCTAGGAATTTCTAAAAGAGTTTATTCAGAAGCCAAGTTCTAAAGATTTTAGGGAGTCTTGGGATGATGCATTCTTTGCCCCATCACATCTTGACTGATACATTACTGCCTTTGCCTTTCTGCAATCTTCAATAAACCAACTGCCTACTCCCCATGCTGCCCTGCAATGCCCTGTGGCCTATGCTGAGCCTCCAGGCCAACACACACTGGAGCCACTTACTGACCTGTTCATAAGCCTGTTCATTATTACCATAGAGGCGACTATAAACCCCTAAACCTGGTCAGGATATTGGATCCAACACCACTTTTTTAGATTATACTCAAAAGCCAAGTTGCAAAGAACATGAGTTTCAGAAATTCCCCCATAAGGCACACTTCTCTCTCTTGCCTCCATTATTCTCCCAGACTAAGGGATTTGAAACTTCGGAACAGTAGTCTCTAAGGTTTCTTCCTGCGTCTAGATTTGGGAATTAGCCTCATCTCCAGAAATAAGATTTATTTTAAGCATCACATGGAGGTAGAAAAGAAAATGTTGGCAGGATGGCCTTTTTGCTGCAGATTTTTAAAAGAACTTCCAGGACCTTGTCTCTGTATTGAAACATATGTTACTCTAGGAATCAGAGCAGGGCATTACATCAATCCTTTAAGAAAATTTCACCACCCTACCTCCCTTGACTCTATTTCTTTTTTTTTTAATTTTTAAGGTAATTGTAAGAGATTTTCCAAGGTTTATTTGAAATGACACAGCACTGAAAACATAATTGTTACACATGATTTGCGGATGCAGTAAACATCACCTATATTACTATAGGACAGTCTGTGAAGATGAATTGCATAAATATAAAGCAATGGAAATATATAGGAGCTGTTCCTACAGTGTTCTTTTTGGGATAAATGAATACGTTCCATCTTTCGAGCCAATCTCATAAAGACAAAAGAGAAGACTACTTAGCTGCTCATCCCAACTAGTCTACCTTCAGCTGCAGTGGCTCCCATCTGAGCAGAGGAATAAGATAATCTTGTACTGCAGAATAATTAATCACATCTTCTGTAGGGCAGCCCCTCAATACCATGCACCTGGTGCAGATAAATTAAAATCTAGTCTGGAGAAAGCTGCTTTACAGTTGATGGGAAGGGATTGAGTACAAGATTGTCACCACAGCTTGGACAAGGCCCAAGGTTTATATAAACTATAAATACATAAATTATATTTAATATATGTTTAAATTACAAATATTTATATATTTAAATTATAAATACATAAATTATAAATTTAATATATATAATAGTGTGTGTGTGTATGTATATATGTATACTTATGGTGCCAGACATAGGCTAATGAAATAGTGTGAGTTAAACTACCTGGAAAAAACAACATCAGTTGAGCACTGAGATGTGCATATTTTATATCATATACAAATCAGCAATAGATGGGCAGGGTGAAATAATGTTCTAAGGAGCAGAAGGATTGGTTGATTTCCACTGAAATGCTGAGGGGTTTGTTAGTTCTCACTGAAATGACTTTCCCTAGTTACTTATGGCAGCAATGTTGTCATCCTGTCCAGGTTTCCTGAATTATTCCTCAGAAAGCAGTGAAACAAAGTTATGCCTTAGAGTGAGACAGGGAGAATAAGTGAAGTACACCACTCTGAATCTGCTTAGTTTTAATGCTATAGATAACCGGGTTCATAAAAGGTGGGAAAAGGAAGTGGATGTAGCTCATTGTAATGTGAACCACATGAGGAACGTGCTTTCCAAACCCATGAATAAACGTCAGACCAACTACAGTGACATAGAAGACCAGGATGCAGCAGATATGAGAGACACATGTGTTGAGGGCCTTGACCCTTTCTTCTCCAGAAGCAATGCCCATGACAGTCTTGAGAATCAAAATGTAGTAGAAAAAGATGATGAGAAAGTCCAACAAGACCATTGCAAATACAGCTACAACTGGATAGAGTCGATTGAAGGTGATATTAGCACACGCTAGCTTGATGATATCTTGGTGTAGACAGAAAGCATGGGAGAGCACGTGGGATCGGCAATAGGGAAACCAGTGTAGGCGAACAACTATTGGCATAATGGACAGACCAGCCCTTGTCAATACCCCCACACCAATCTTCATTACCTGGATGTTGGTCAGGATAGAGGTGTATCTTAAGGGGTTGCAGATGGCAATGAAACGGTCATAAGCCATGGCAAGCAAGACACCTGACTCCACGACAGAAAGAGTATGGATAAAATAGGCCTGTGAGAAGCAGGCTCCATGGCCAATCTCCCTGTGATTTAGCCACAGAACACCTAGCACTGTAGGCATTGTGGTCAATGTCACTCCGAGATCTGTAGCTGCCAACATAGCTAAGAAATAGTACATGGGCTCATGGAGGTTATGAACATTCTTGATGAGGAAGAGAAGAGTACTATTGCCAAGAAGTATGGAGATGTAGACTACCAATAATAGGATGAATATCCAGTGATGTGCTTTCTCCATGCCTAGGAAGCCAGTAAGCTGGAAAGTGGAAGCAGTGTTATTGAGCCTCATTGCCAGCCTTGCAAAGAGGAAAATATTTACTCCAGGTAATGCAATAGAAATCAGTTGTATAAAAGTTGCTCCTTGAGAATTCCACCTGTTCATTCTGTGTTCACTGGCCTGACTTTCAAAATTATCATCTTTGTGACAACAAAGATGATAATTTAGTCATTTGTGAGAGATTCCTAGGTATGGGAAAATAGAATGTATGAAGAAGATATTAGTTTGCTATATGTAAGATGATAGGATAATATGCTGGGGACACAGCTATGCATGCAGAATAAACATTGTCGAATTCATTGTAAATCATATAACCCAAAAAATAAAAGCAAAATGAAAGAAGAAATCACTATATTTGAAAAGAGCTGTAATGGCTTGAAACGTACAGCTCCATTTTCATGGTGCTCTTCATCTTGACTGGTAGTATTGAGGTAAAGCTTTCTCAGACTTTGTGAGACCTAAAAGATCAGTAGAAAAATGGTTCTATTGGAAGAGTAAATATACACATCCTATGGAAAAACAAATACACAAGTAAGAAATATATGAACAAATATAGTAAAATAGTAAATTTCACAGAATGATTTTTCTTCAATATGTCTGGAGGAAAAATTCAATTGGTGAAACTCTAGACTTTTGGGTAGCTAGAAAGTAACATAAAAGAGTGACTTATTTGTGTGTGTTTCCAAAGCACATAGAACTCTATATTGCCCAGCTTTGTTACCCTAGTTATTGGTGTGTTGCTTCAAAAAGCTCAAATTTTCATAATATAAATTTAAGAATAAGCAACAAAATGTGGATTTGATGATAAGCATTTGAAGGCACCAATTGCTAACAGCATCAGAAAAAAACTACTGTTGCATATCACTTACTTGGGGATGCAAATATAAAAATTGGTAACTTAGGTAAGATCAATGAGAATTTTTTTTTACAGCTTTGGAGTCTGATGGGATTTAACCAAAGTGAGAAGGCTCTGTGATTCATTAGAATTCTAAGATTTCAGCTGGTCCAGGCAGCCAACATCTGAGAATACATAAAGTATGTGTTGGTGGCATGAGTCAGAGAAAATAGGGGGCCCTCGATCCCCTGTGGTTGGTTTGGACTATACATCTCGTATACTATAGAAAGAACATATCGATGTAAATGTATGCATTACTTACAAAACCTCTTTCTGAACACGAAAATAATGAATCAAAGATTACTGGACTTTCATCTTCAGAAGAATTCGTTGAAGTTCCAGTTCTGCTCTTTCTAACAGTAATGATCATGGGAAAGTCATTTAATCTTGACATTCAGTGACAAAACCAGTAAAGCATACTAGTGATTTCTGTTTTCTCAATCATTCTCTTGACACAAAGTGTGGGGAAATGTTTTGTAAAGAGTAGATAATTTTTTTATTTTTGTGTTGTTGTTATTGTTTCAGAGAAGAGCCTCCTTTCCCTTTCTCTGGTGGGTACCTGTCAGGATTATTCACCCAGCGGTGTGTCAAATGATTTCATTTTTTTAAATGGAATCTTTGGGAACAGATATAGGATGATGATGGGATTTTTAGGAGTCTGCGTTTGATTTTAAATAAAAATATTAAGCTACAGTTTCTCTAATCAGCAGATAAAAGGTGATATATCTCGGTGGGAAAGCGAAAGGAGAAAAGAGTGATGAGTCAGTGTGGGAACTTCTGACACAGCTAAAAGCGACATTGAGCCTGGGGCACTGGGACCGAGGGTTGTTGTGGGGAAAGCAACTCTGTCTTCAAAAAGTGAGATATTGCTTAATTCACCTGCCAGTGAAAGATTCAGACAATACTCAGCTTATGCAGGATTAAAGAAACAGGTATGGCAAATAAAAATTGTACATAAAGTACAGAGCTTGTTGTTTTATTGTAGGTGTCCATTGTGAAATGATTACCATAATCAAACTGATTAATGCATCTATCGTCTCACATAATAATATCAATATATTTGGTAGTGAAAAGATGTGAGACCTGCTTTCTTAGCAAATTTCAAGTACATCTAAATAAAGCTGGGAGGGAAAAGGTAATACAGAACTTTAATCTAGTTAATTGTGTTATATTACTCCTAAATAAACATATAATAAGTAAATAAATAATAAAAAGAAAACAGGAGTAGGAACAAGATAGGGAAAATAAAGCTAAGAAGCAAATGTAAGGAAAAAATAATTATTGAATTTCTCCCCTGTGTCAAGTATTGCACAGGGGCACAATATACACCTCATTTTTGGGTTAGAATCCTTACCATAGCTGTTTGTCTTATTTGCTTTCATACTGAAAAACTGAGTGCTTTCACTTGATTCACTCAATTGCTTTTGTGATACATGAGATGATTTGTGAGATATGAATACAAATCTAAAACTTTTGCCTCATTCCTACAGCTACTGACCTCCCAGGCTCTCTGTCATAGAATAGACTTGAGTTTTTATTAATAAGAAACTAATTCTCAAAGTCTCAAACTCTGCCACACAAACTGATAGCTCTTTGCAGACACCTAAGAGAGAGCCCATTCAGATGTCAACTTTCACATACTCTCTCACCTTCCCCTCAGCTTTTTTCCTTCACGTTTCTTGATCTTCTTTTCTAACTCAAGCACTTCATCTCTCCATCCTTTTTTTAACCCTCTTACCTTTGTCTCTTATCCTTCCTGTAATGGTTAATATTGAGTGTAAACTTGATTGGATTGAAGGATGCAAAGTATTGTTCCTGTGTGTGCTGTGAGGGTGTGGCCAAAGGAGATTAACATTTGAGTCAGTAGACTGGGAGAGGCAGATCCACCCTAAATCTGGGTGGGTATCATCTAATCAGCTGCCAGTGTGAGTAGAATAAAGCAGGCAAAAGAAGATGGAGGAAGAATAGTGGATGCCTACTATACAACATAAACTTCTCCAGGTGCTATAGTCACACTGCTACGTGAATCTCTGTTTTTTATCCTTGGTCCAGAGGCACACATAACCCAATCTGCATCCAAGCTTAATTTTGAATTGGTTTATAAGTCACATAGTCAGATACTGACTTTTTCTAAAAAGCATTTGAAACTCTGATGATTACAGATGTATACCTCCTTCAAGAATTTGGAAGAGATGATTCCATATTTGGTGGTTATCTGGGCTTCTAGGGTAACAGGCATGGGGTCAGGGGCAGGGGGACTCTCAGAGTTAGAATGGAAAACAGAAATCAGTCAGGAGGAGAAAAATTGATATAACCCCATAATTCATACCTGAGTCAATACCCATGCTTGGGTTTGCTTCCAGAATTCTTTGTCTCATGTGTTCCAGAATCTATGCTTTACCTTTTTTATATTTGAAGAGATAACTATCAAAGAAACCAAGGTTTAGGATGTCAGGGAGTCTTTAGGACCCATGCTCACTATATACAGCTACTCTTGGCAGACAACACTATTACTCTTCTCTTGCTGAGAAATCGGCTTCAATTTCCCTGTCTCTCTGCCTTGGTTCCTGCAATGAGATCTTACAGAAAAGAATCATTAAATATCCTCACTGACTTGAAATTTTGTTCTCTTTCATTCTTCAGTTTCATAGTCATGCATCTCACATTTTTAGCTTCATGAAAGATTTGGGCATCATCTTTTCAGAATCTGCACATAAGTCTGGCTGGTAGGAACATTTATTTTAGAAGCTCCTCCCCAGAGACTATTCCTGATTTAGATAATTATTATTCCCTCCCTCCCTCCCTTCTCTGCTCCCTCCTCGCCCCACCCCCCAACCTCCTTCCTTCCATCTTTTATCTATTATCTGTGCCCTCAGCCTTGGGAGTATTAGGCTTTGAACAGCACAACCCAAGATCTCTGTCTGTGTCCTGGCTTTTACCGTTGCTAGGAGAGTTGTTTCTATCAGGACAAGGAAGTCAAAGTAGAACAGTTAGGGATCTGGACCAGAAGAGTTCTTGGGGTGCACTTTTTTCTAGCTGTCTTTGAGAACTCCCAGTCCCTGTGCTTAAAATCAGGAATGTGTGAAAATTAAAGGAGGACAGGACATCCATTTTGGTAAAGTAAAGAGTTTCTCCCATCACACTCTTTTTCCCCAAGTGCTGATGTCTGACTGCAGCCAACATGAGCCCACAGCCCTGTCTCAGAGAACTGGATCCCAGGAGAAGGGAGCAGTCCTTTCTAGTCCTTGATTTTTCTTTATCCTTCTCTCTACATCCTCAATCTCTAGGTTCTCCTAAGAAGACAGAGCAAGAAGTCATGTTTTTTTTTTTTTTTTTTTTTTTTTTTTTA